GCTTATTTTACATACTTAATGGGTGATTTGTGCTAAGAAAGTAGTAAAGTGTTAACAAACATAACGTGGAAAACAAACTGCCTGAAATATTTTCATGCAGAAATTCAGTTACATATATTTTGTCATACAAAATAAATATTTTGGGACTGACTAATATTTCTGTAAAAGACTAATCTTATATGTAAAGCTTTAATCATAATAAAGTCTTGATTAATATAAATTTTAAAGAAAATGTCTCACTATTCTATATTTTTTAAAATGTTATATTAAAAGTATTATTTCAAAAAGTAGAAAAACTTATATAAGGGCTTTTGTTTAGTCTTTTTATATCTTGATTATTAATGTTTAGTTGTTGTTTCTTGGAAACCTGCTCTTTTTGATGGAAAATGGTGGTGGAATGGATCAGAGAGAGAATGAAAGTGCAGGAGAGCTGGGAGGAATGGAGGGAGAGGAAACTGTGGTTAGGAAGTATTGCATGAGAGAACAATCTGTTTTCAGTAGAAGAAAAGAAAGAAGAGTAGGAGAATTGCATAAAGAATATTAATAAAGTTAGAAATATAAAATACAATATATATATAAAATAGCAAGTTGCTATGTTTTTATCTTATTATTTGATAAAAATCATACATGCATACAATGCATGTTTATCAATCAAATGTTGAATCCATTCATCCATTCCCTATCCATGCTAGAATTTTGGTTGGCTTCATCTTGTATAGGTTTTTAATATCTCATGAGTTGTTGTGAACAATGACTCTGTCATATTCAGAAATCATTGTTCTTTCTTTTTTAAATCAGGTAATAGTTCTATCTTATGTCTGGCTCTTATAATCCTCTTCCCTCTTCCTAGATGATCTGAGTCTTTATTTAGGAACATGTGATTAAATCTTTCATTTAGAACTCAGTAGTCTACAGTCTCTTATTCTATGTTAAGCAAGCTATGATTCAATTTAGTAATCATTGTCTACTACAGAAAGTTGTGTTTTTTAATGAAGGCAGAATAAAGAACAAATACCAAGTGTGAAAGATAGAACACTTGATTTCAAAGATAAATAATAATATTTAACCCACATTTATAAATAAAAATTATTATATTTAGAAACTTGTCTTTAATTTGTGTTTCACTTCTTTTTAAATAAGTATTTTATCTTTTCATATTTTACTAGTGTGATAACACAATTCTTACTTATCTACTTATCCACCTGGCAACACTCTACAGAAACATTTTTTTCTGGTTAACTCATTTTCTCCACATCACAGATCATTTTGTAGTTTTCTAAACTCTACACAAAATTAGTAATTATGGCCTCATTAACAAATACTGCACCTTGTCTTACATGCAGATCTTAGTTTTTAATGGATCTCTATGTGTATTTATGTGAGACTAAGTTAGTAAAATACTTCTTTTTTTATCATAGTCTGGTTTAAATTGAAGAATTGTATCTTCCTTTGTGCTTGAATAAAATTCCAGTGTGTGTATGAGCCTCATTTTAGTTATCAATGTAGCTATGCATTAAAGATTAGCTGGCACTGTCATTGTCTTCTCCACATTTATCAGTTTAATCCATTCTAGGCAACTCTGGTTCTGCTTAAATATTTCAAAGCCTGCAATGTCAGAGAACCTCAGGCTTTTCTCAGGTTTTGATTATCGAGCCAACTGTCTTCACCTCTACAATAATTTGAAACAGAAGAATCCATCTCTTGCGTAAATAACCATCATCCCAAGTCTTGAGGTTTCTTGAAATTATGTCTAATTAATCTTTACTTTAAGCACCAAACAGAAGGATATGGTAACATACTTTAACTGTTTGCAGAGGCATTATTCTTTAATTTTTAGGAAGACTTGACAAAATGATTAAAGACAAAGTTTTAGAATCAGACAAATTTCAACAAAAGACCTCTTTAGAGGTTGTTCTCTTGCTGTAAGTAAATAATTGAACAGGACTTTGGGTGCTTTGGACATTCACTGTGCTTCAGTTACTTATTGAACAAATGGAATGATAAATATTGCCATGGGCTGTTTACAGATCTAATTGATGTACAAGGAATTTAAAAGGATGAATGCAGAAACCTAAATGTTTAATATACAGTTGATATTTTATTCTATCTTTATTAATAAATATTTTACAGGAAGAATAATTTCTAGAAGTTGTCAATTGTAAATCTCATGTTCACATTTAACGAATTAAATATATGTAGATTAAACAGATGAAGACCCAGTGTCTGTTAAATAGCCAAATTCATGTCACATGATCTATATTGTCTCACTGCCAAAGTTAGAATTTATTCTAACAAACTTCAGAATAACTCATTAATGTCACTGTTATTGGTCACCAAATTGATAGTTCATATTTAAAACCATACATCTTTCTTGCTTCAAATAAGCTGTTCAAAGAATGATAGAAAGCATAAAAAATAAAGTACCTTAATATTAAGAGCTATCTATAAAGCTTATTAAATAGTGATTCAAAATCTTTTTGAATTTTAGTTTATTTAATTAGCCTTTTTTCATTTATTTTTCATACTGACCACAGCTTCTTCTCCCAACTCTCCTCCCACTTTTTCCCCCACAGAAGCTCCCATATATGCCCCTGCCCAGCACTCCTGTGTCTCCATCAGAGAGGTACCTGCCTCCCATGAGTTCAAACAAAGCATGGCACATCAGGTTGAGATGCTCATTCATAGGTGGATATTAAAAGTACATGATCCTCAACCTACAATCCATAACCCCAGAGAGGTTAAGAAACAAAAACGACCCAAAGAGGGATGCGTGGATTCCCCTAAGAAGGAAATATAGAAGCTATCTCCTGGGTAATTCAAAATCTTTAGCAGAATATCCCATAACAGTGCTCTCATTATTACTAATTCACAGTTACAGAAGATGAACAAAAAACAGTTCTTTGTTTTTATTGTTATTATAACCTAAAGAAATTTTAATAAATATTACGTCTCATTCTGAATTTTGCCAAGAACGTTTTGAGAGAATGAGTATTAAAGAGCATTCTTTTCATATAAATCATTGCAAAGAAACACCATTAATAATCTAAAAATACAAAGCAGACAAACATTTTGTATTAAAGTACATTTAGTTAGTTGAAAATTCTATAAATTGTACTTGGATTTTCAAGAACAATAAAATAAAATAGAAATATAACTGTCATAGACTTTCATATTTAATTACTACTCTATGTCCTGATTACAGAAGCTTTTTTTTCTTGTCTCTTGAAATTTATACGCAGAATAATTCTTGACAAAAGAATCACATGATACCTGAATACAGCATAATTTACCGGAATGAAACCTACAGGTTTAGTCAAGCCATTCCTTCCTCGCTACCTCTTTAATCACAGCAGAATTAATCAATTTTCTACTTAACTTGCAATCCCTTACTCTCTTTTTCTTATTTCAAACTTGAGATTTTATTTTATTACTCAATATAAAGCTGTTTGCCCATCCAATATATCAGTCCTACCTATTCAATAGTTATTATTTCTTGGCAGTATGCTAAATGTTGTAGTAAATATAAAATTATTCAAATATTTACAACAAAAATCAGAGCTATGACAAACAATAATCCAGTGTCTTCTAAAGCTATACACAGATGCATACTATTGAGTCTAATTATCGACAGTTGATCAGATTGCCACATGGACATACAATTTGTAGTTTGAATGGAATAATGAAGTCAGAATCAGTAATTTTGCATCTAACTCAGTCTTTTGTAATATATGAGATTGATCAATTATCACATAAGCTTACATTTCCTATAGCAAATAGTTTGTTCTACTAGAAGCCTACAAACCACCATCAGATTGTTCATGAGTACATAATTAAATTTAGAATTAGAGACAAATGATGAAAAATGTATTGTATATCAAGCTTCTACATTTAACAGAAAAAAATTCAATTTTAAGACTTTTGTAGCATACTTCAAACTGTGCCTCTTGATCATAAATACTCAGAAGCCCATTTACCCTTTGAAATTATAAATATGAATATTTTTAGTTCCCATATCCTGTTTATGCAGTAAGTTCCAGGCTCATTGTCTTAAAAGTTTCATAAATTACTAATGTTCAGCAAATTTCATGATAATTGGAAAGCAGAGCATAATTTTTAAAACAGAGTGATGGCAAGCCATAACATATCTTCTGATTTTAATACAAAGCAAACAATGGTTATGGATCAGTTGAAGGGCAAATTTTCAGAGAAGTGATGGCCTTAATAAGGAGCCAACATTTATATTTCAGCAAAACTCAAATTATTTATATGGGTTCAAAAGCAGGGAACAAAATGTGCAGGGGTTCTAAGGACAATATGGGCTAGGTACATCTTAGGTAAAGAAAAGTGTCCGTGCATGGCAAGTTGTTCGTGGGAGGAGGAGCGACTTCATTAAAGGGTTCCTTTGGACTGTTTTTATACCTTGACTTTTATTCACATTTTCCCAAGCAGGTTACAAGTACTTCTTAAAATTCTCCCCCTTCTTTATCATTTCAGCCTTCTGCTTCATTAAAAATCAAGTCTGCTTGAAATGGTTCTTAAAACCACTTCAAATAAATTAAGAGCTTCTGTTTTATTGTTCGAGTTACCCCTAAGGCCTAGTTGAAAAGTGAAAAGTTTGAAGTTATTTCTCTTTTTGAGAGCTCTAAAATTTAATAATACATAAATCAGTTTCCCTGAACAGATCATTTCAAGAAGCATAAAGCTACATATAAATAACTTGTCGTTTTTAAAATACTATGCCCTGACCATTCGGATTTGAAGTTGAATTCTGTGATATTTGCAACTCCCAAGAGGGGGTGTCAGTTATTGTGCTTTAAGAATATTTTCTGAACTTTTTATGGTCTTTGTTGTCATTTCTCCAAGGTTAGCAACTTGAAAATGAGTCTTCAAATACTATACTGAAGAAGGCAAAAAGAAAATTCCGTCTTTTCTGTTTCTTTTTTGTATTAGACAGCCATCAGATAAGTATTAAAGTCACAATTCCTTTCCTGAATACTCACAAATAGGAAATACTATAGTTGTCCAGTTGTGTATCTTTTCTACTCAATTACTCCACCCAGTTGTGATGACACTGATGTTATAAGGATACACAGCTACAAACAGAAAACAAGAGTAAAATCCCACTGTTAGAAATAAGGGAAGAAACCAAGGTATCACTGTTTTTCATGCAGTGTGTTTAATTGAGATTATGTGTGAATGTAAGTTCCTCCTGTCTCTAGAGTAAATGTGAGTCCTTGCAAAAGACAAATGAGCCTCTGTGCTTTTGTTTCTGGAAGACGTTTTTTCAGGTCCTCTACTCTTTTCTCAGACTGTGACATCTCAAACAGTGTAATGCAGACAAACTGGAGGAAGTTCAGTAAGGACGAAAAGAAAAGAAGAGAAAAGAAAAGAAAAGAAAAGAAAAGAAAAGAAAAGAAAAGAAGGAAGGTTGGAAGAAAAGAAGAAAGGAATGAAGGAAGGAAGGAAGGAAGGAAGGAAGGAAGGAAGGAAGGAAGGAA